TTCCACTTTTTTCCAAGGTGCTTTTATTAATAACTCCTGGAAGTGGCACCCCATTATTAGAAGAGGCATATCCACTGATGATAGAAACTGTATTGAAGAGCTTTATCTTAAACTTGAGTCCCCCATCCCTCCTGTAGTATCCATCAGAGACAGCTTACAATGGCCCCATCACCCTTCAAGCAAGTTCTCAGTTAAGTCCTTCTATAATATTCTCAACTCCGGAGGTATTTCTTTCCATCTTTTTAACTTCATCTGAAAAACTCATGTTCTTCTCAAGGTTAAGATTTTTTTTTCTGGTCATTGAGCTACCACAAACTTAATACTAAGGATGTTTTATTCAAGAAAGGATGGACTGGAGACCCTGTTTGCCCTCTGTGTAGTTCTGAACTAGAATCACATGACCACCTCTTCAACTCCTGCTAGTTCACTAGATCTGTTTGGGATCTCCTCATTCCTAATGTCCAGTCTGGTAACTGGCCGTAGGGGATTGGTCCACTCATCTTTGCTCACCGTGATTTCATCAGTAACCCAAGTATCAACTCTATTTGGAAGGTCATCCTCCATTGCTGTTGCCGGTGGATTTGGATTAACAGGAACAAGATTATTTTCAATCAGTCTTTTATTCCTAGTCATATTATAGCTGCTAATGTTGCTCAATACACCCTGTTATGGACATGCTTCCAGTAGCAGAAGGCCCTATGCACAGAGCTGCCATTGAGCTAGGTTTTAAGATGTTCGTTAAACTTGGAACTATTGATGAAGTGAGGGGGCAATCTTTCTGTTTGATCTGGTCTCGGAAAGTATGCAGCTTCTCTTTTGCTCTTTTGGAACTGATTTTGTAACATACTTATGATAACTCTTCTATCTGGCCAACCCTCTCTTTTGTTTGGCTAGCCCTGTTTTTTCTTCTTTTCTTTTTATTTTATGGTCTTCAGGTCTTCTTTCATATGGATGGGTGGAAACATGGCAGATTTAGTTTGGTTGGTGACAACAAGGTCCGCTCCCAACCGACTAAATCTTCTTTTGATTCTGCGCTATCCGTATTTTTTGTAATAGCATATTTTCTCGTTTTTCGGTTAAAAATACATGAACATGGCTTCTTGCTCTGTTTTTTACCTCAAAAAAAAAAAAAGAAAGAGATATATGGCTGTCAAAAATATCCCAGCGTACACTTTATGCCTTGATCATATTGAATGTGTAGTGTGTATACCTTTAATGTTCACACTATAAATCTAAAATCTTTTATGTCGTAATCATGACTTTGTGAATGTATTTGATGTCTCCTCTTCATTACAGATGACCAGATGAAGGATGATGTTGTTCATAAGTGTTTGTGGGAAAAGAACAACATGGAGAATTACCTGGCAGATATGAGAAAGGAATCAAAATGTCCAAGATAACATGTTTTATTTTATTCTCTAGTGATATTTCCTACCCTGACTTTGCTTAAATTTATATTGGAGAATAGCAAGATAGAGGCTATAAAAATTAATTTTGTGTATAGTACACGGAAAGTGATGTTATTATTCATATTTATTAAAGTCAAATTTTGATTTGTCAACTATAGAAATAAGAAATTTATTCTACCATGTTTGTTATAGACTTCTAATTCAAGAGTGAACCAAACCCTCATTCATTTTATTTATTTATTTATTATTTTTTGGGTGTGTGCCACTGTGCTTTTGAGGTTTTTAGAATTTCAAAAATAAGATTAGCTTTTGGACTTGTATATGATTTAGAAATATCTTAGAACTTTGTTCGAGGAGAACTATATTCATGCAATATATCTTGTTTGATCAATAACAAACTCTCAAATTGTACTAGTAAGTGCAGAGTTTGTTGCCCAACGTGCTACATATTACACGTGTACCCACCAACAAAAGAAAAAAAAGGGGAAAAGAAGAGAAGAAAAGAAAATTGTTCATATAGTCCTCTATAAAGATCATAATAGCAGGAAACACAACTCCGCTATCAATTTAATTTTAAGTTAGCACAAATGGTATAAAATCAGTGTGGGTAGTATAAACGGGTCTTATAATGACTCATAATTTTTCTTTATAATTTTCAAGAAAAGAGTCATACGCTTGTTTAGTTAGAGAGGCACTAAGGGCACACCCTTTACCACACTCCCAACCACACCACCTCTTTTGCTACAGTGCACATGGCCCACATGATATTTTAAAAATTAAAATCTCATGTGGGCCTCGTGCACTGTAGCAAGAGAGGTGGTGTGGTTGGGAGTGTGGTAGAGGGTGTGCCCCTATCATTGTTTGTTTAGTTATAGTACAAGAGCAGTGTAGGCCATAAAGTACTATTATCACTTTCTGAAAAAAAAAAAGAAAGAAAAACCAGTACAAACAACTAAAAAAAATATTAGCACAAAGGATTGAATTCGTTCGAACGGTTCACGAGTTTTGCAAATCACAGACGTCGAAGGTAGCTTGCAACCGCGTGTGTTTTTGAGAGGCGCTTATTGGGCTGGCCATGTCTTTTGACAGGCCCGAAGCTCATCCTATGCTTAGGTCCAGTGGATCTAAATATATAACAATGGAATATACAAATGCTTAAAAAACGGGAAGGAGAATGATCTTAAAAATAAATAAATAAATAAATAAAAATAAGTAAATAATAAACAAATAGATAAATAAAATTGAGATCGGCGACCATTTCAGAGCACGCAGCCTAATTCTCGCCTCCATCTGCTCTCTCTCTCTTCAACTCAGAAAATCGAGGGCACCGATTGAAGAAACCAGCTGGTCCCTCCGCGAGATCAGCAATCGTCGCTAATGGCTGAGGTCAATGGCAGCGAGCCTTGTGGGCCCCTCCTCCTCCTAATGTCCCTCCTGCCCTTCCTCCTCCTCCTCCCTCCTCCGTCATCTTCGTCTGGCGCCGGATGGCGCTCATCACCGCCGCCTCCCCTATCGCCGCACTCTTGCGCTAACCGTCTGCCACCGCCAGGATTAACCCATTCTATGCGAAAAGCTTGATCTTGAGGCTTCCGCATTTGGGTATGTGGTGTTCGTTATAAAATTTGTTGAGGGTTTGATGGATGCGAATGCCAAATGAGAAGAAATTAGGGCAAGATTTCGAATTTATGTCGAAATGTTTAGCCGCTGTGGAAACCCATGTTAGATAAATGTAGGAAATGTCATTCTTGATTCTTGACAAGGGGAGTTTCATTTGCTTGACTGTATCTTTTACGCATGACCCGTTGCATATGAATGCTTATCAGCTACAAAACCATAGAAAAACACACTGCAGGGTGAACGATTTACCTTGCTGAATGCTAAAAGCCCTGTACACTACAAGAAGGCAGGGCAGATTTAGGTAGGAGATGTATGGAAGGATTAGCTTTCTATTGTCAGTATCATCGCAGGTTTCAATCCTACAGAGGAACTGTTTGTATCAATATGGATTGTCGCTTGAAGTAACATGGCTGTTGATTTCTGTATTTCTAGGAAGCTCAGTAGTTATTTCATGCCGTGATGTTATTTCCCACAGATTTATGTAGCTGATGTAAGCATAACCATATCTTTTACACATAGTTCAACTAGAGGAGCATGTGAATAATCAAGCATATGATGAATGCTAGCAACAAGTAATCTGATAGATCATAGGAGAACGACTTATGTTATGGATGATAGAATCCGTGCACTACAGCAAATGCAGAGGGGATCTAGGTGAACGAAATCAGCGAAATGTTATCTTGAATCGCCATTGTTATTGCTGACGTTCCCAAGAAGTGCAAGTAAAATCCACAGGAAGAACAGGTTGTGTCAATATGAATTGTTACTTGAAGTGACATGGTTTGCGATTTCTACAATTCTAGGAAGCATATTAGTTATTACATGCCATAATTGTGTTTGCAACAGTGTTTATTTAGCTGATGTAAGGTACGCCATAGAATGCTAATAGGCTGAGGCGAACTCTTTTTGTGCTTAGCTTTTTTAACTGACTTAGGAAAGACATGGGTCACGTGATGATGTAAGAAAGGTACTAAATCGGATGTTTTTCTAGATTTTTTTTTCAGTTTGAGTAGGCGTTATTTGTTAGAGGGTTTTGTGAGATTTTGAAGGATGTGGATGCAAGTGAGAAGGAATTAGCGCAACTTTGAAATTATGTAAATTATTCAGCTCCTATAAGACCCATATAAAATATGAAAATAATACATGATTCATGACAGGAGAAATTCATTTTGGTAACATAGATGACTTGGCAGATATGAAGATTTTGTAGAGACAACTATGTAGATTCTAGCAAAAGCAAAAATAATTAGAGCAAGTATATGTCCTGCAGAAGAACTGGTTGTATCCATAAGGATTGTTACTTGAAGATTTTGTAGAGACAAATAGGTAGATCTAAGAACAAAAGAGAAATGATAGTTGCAAGTTTACGTCCTAGAGAAGAACTTGTTGTATCAACAAGAATAGTTACTTGAAGTATCATGGACATCGTTATAGTTATTTGAAAGCTTAGTAGTTGTTACATGTCATAATGGTCTGTCCAATAGAACTTATATATTTGATCACTTGATCTAGAATATTCCTTAAAATGCTAGTAAGCAGTGGGTAATTCTTACTGTGCTTGACTGTTTTCAGTGGAATTTAGAAATACACAGGTCTGGTTTCTTTTTTTTTTATAATTTGAATGTCAACATTGCTAACTAAAAACTAAAAGGTTTTGTTTTATACAAAAGAAAGGTACATTGAACATGTGTAGTTGCCATGAATGACACAGACATTTATGCCAAAGCAAAACCAGAATTTTTGGAGACACCTTTCTCCATTTTCCTTCTGCATATTTGTGCCGTGCATCAGGTGCCAGATCTTGGGGCTTGAAAGATGATTATCGATACAAAAGCAGGTGGATGTAGGGAAGCCGTTCAGTGGCAAACTTGTGAATAAATTTTCCGCCTGGCTTTTGTGGTATAGTATTAGACATCTTGGTTCATTTGCTTGCAAATATGTTGGTGCATTGAGATGCTTTTGCTTTATTTCATTTAACTGCATTTTGCAGTGAACACATGAATATAGTTTACCTTAGGAATTACTCATCTTTAATTTACTTTTTTGAAAACGACAAACTGATATGGACAGTAAGGACCTATAGTGAATATGTTTTTCATGACAGTAACGCATTAGCCTACATATCAACATAACTTCACTGTTCATGGACCAATCGTCATATTTCTTTTACTACGCATAACTTACCATGTTTTATTTTAAATATATATACCTGGTGTGGCGTTATTTTTTAATTATATATAACATTATGATATTTACTGGTTGCTACCCTTTGCAGACTGATGATATTGAAAGACCTTTTTTTTCTGAAACTTCGGCTGATGTCTCAGGACAAAGCTATGATTTGGCAAAAGTTTCTGATCAGGAATCTAGCATTCAAATTGATGAAAATATCACTTCACAAACAACATATGGGGTTGCAAGTAATGAGAGGTTTCAAACTGACTGTTATGTCAATCAAGGTATTCTCTCAGTTCACGTTAAATTGTTTCTGTCACTGACACCTATCATATTATATAGTTTATTGATTACAACCTTCTGTTTCTTGTCATTTCAGGAGATAGCTTGATATTGGATGTGGTTTCTGAGACAGCAGATAGTCAGCAAGTTAGTCAGACACTTAAGCGTGCTTCAGTATCAAGTAGGCCAGTTGAGGAAGCAAAACATGTTCGAAAGGGATATACTGCTAGTGATCTTCCATCTTTTGGTGGCAAGGGCAGAGCTCATTTTTCGGCAATAAAGGCCAAGAGTGTCGGAGCTCTACGTATTCTCTTTCCTTCCATCATATTTTGATTATTGTATAAATTAACCCTTTCTGCATAATATTACTTATTTTATGAATCATATCGTCCAATATTTTTGAAGTGCAGGAAGCAGCCTGAACCTTGAGGTCATAGCTGGTCCTGCTTATGGTGTTTGTTGTTCCCGGTTGTCAACAAACACTTCTATGCTTCCAGTGATTATCGGAAGGGTTCTTCCGAGCAACTTTGTAGTAAAGGACTCTGAAGTTTCAGGAAAGCATGCTCTCATAAATTGGAATGTGAATGTAAGCATGTTGCAGCTTCCTTGTGCATTCATTTCTTCTTTTGTGCATGCATGATCTGCTCCTGCAAGAACACATTAGGGGAAGGAATGTTGGGAAAGAAACCCACAATTATTTGTATGTGCATGTTTGAGGGGTGGGTTTTCCTTTTTCTTTTCTTTTTTGCTGGTGGTGATTTTTCATTTTTTTTGGATTGGGGCATGAGGACAGAAGGGATCTTAATCAATAAGATATGAACTCAAATCCTATAATCCATGACGAAGGGGATTCTAGATGCAAGCTTAAATCTAATCATACATATTTTAATCGTGTCTGTGTGATGGAAGTGGGAGGATGTTAAGCCTTTCCTATTAAAAGCCTAAAAGGTTTTGCAAGCAAATCCTTCCTGTTCAAACTCACTGATACTGAAACCAAAATAAAAGGTGGTTTCTTCATTAAGCATAGAAGAACCAAATGAAGTTTCAATCCTTTAAATGATAATCTTCATGCATCATGTGTATACTAGTAAAATACATGTGCTTTACATGTACAAATTTCATAAGTAACTTAAAAAAATAAAAATCAACAAGAAAATAAATTAGGACCCTGAAGGTCCAAAAACAATTGAAGAGATCTATGTAATATAAGTGTTTTTGGTCATTTATATTATCGATATCATCATTTATTCTTAGAGTAAGTACAACATAGTTCAAAATTTTGGGGTTTGGCATTAGTCCCTGAAATCTTTTGTATTTTGATATTAGTTCCCAAAATCATCTTAATTTGTTGATATTAGTCCCTCTAGTTAGTTGGTGTCAAACTATTAAAATGGTCATGGAATATTCTGTTTTCTTTAACCTTTTTTGTTGCTTGGACAGGTATACCCCCCAGTTCACATACCCAAACTCACAACCTTTTTAAACTTGTACCGTGAAGAACCGCCAAATTCAGACCCGTTTAATTAAAAATTTAAAACCTAAAACCCATTTCACTCATCTTCTTCCCCAACATTCTCTCTCCACCCTTATGAACCTGAGCCCCAAACACGTTAAATTAACCCAATAACATCCTAATCTATTTAAAAATTCCAAACCCAAACCCATTTAAGCATTCATCTCCCCAACAACTACCCCTTTCAGCTAACCCATGAAAGTAATGGCTACCTTCTCTAGCAAAATATACAAAAACTCCAAATGTCTCCTCAAGAAGTCATCTCCATCAACTTATTCTTACCCCAAAACATGTTTAAGCTTTCGAATCATGCTCTACGTTCAAGTAACTTTGTAGATGAGGTTTCTAATTTTCAGGGCGAATATGATGAAAGGGGAAATGAGAGCGGGGGGGGGGGGTTAACCAGCGCTTAAAGAAGGGTGATTTTGTAATTATACAACCATGGCTTTCTACTAACCTAACCATGGTTAGTATTTTAGACTGAAAAAGTAATAGAGTGATTTATCTCAACGCGCTCAAAGGATTTGAGGGACTAATATCAAAAGAACCTAAAATTTTAATGTGTCAAGTGTTATAAGTTTAAATTATATAACCCATTATTAAGGGTGGTTCTGTTTTTTAGCCACTTGATGCATAGTAAGAAACTTTAAAACAATTGACTATTAATTTGTTAGGCACTTTGAAGTTTGAACAATGTAGATCGATTTGGATGAAGTAGATTTTGAAGAAGGTTCCTACTGTCAAATTTATGAGAAGGATTTGCTGCCTAACATTGCTCAGAGGACCCCCCTCCCTTCTCCCTCCCTCTCCTGAGAGCATTTAGTATTTATGGAACTTTCCACGATACCAATAGTTTCACATTGATTGAAAATTGTTGAACATCATCTACTAGGCATAATCTATATGGAAGTAAAAATTCAATGACTTTCAACATGTTTTATCATGGATCAGTGTGGGTGAAAGTTAAGCAATATTATTTCTTTCTAAATCATTGATCTCTTGGCACTTGATATATGGGTAGAGTGAAGCAGAAATCTTTGAGATTATGGTCATAGATAGTTTATGCTAATAAATAACATTAAGTCAGCATTCTTTCTCTCTCTCTCCACATTCACCCACTGACATACACAGAAATATGCACACACATTCATACCACATTGCCACACACAATTACATATATTTACATACACACGATAAGTACATACACGGGTATGCATGTATACAAACTTACATACACATTGATATGTATGTTTATATGTACATATATATATATGTGTTAGGTAAGTGTACCTACATGGATATATGGATAAGGATGTGTATGTATATGCATGCGTATGAGCCATTGTTTTAAATATCCTCGATATATCCTATATATCGGTCGATATATCCTTCTATAAGGCTTGTTTTGGCTTGCCGCAAAGCAATATGGTTGTAATATCCTTTACCATTTTTTGATAATTTTTGGGTGATATATCCCCATCATGGCTGATATATCAGCCGATATGTTGACCTATATAACCTCTTATATGGCTTGTCACAAAAAAATATAGTTCTACAAAATTTCTATAATGTCTTTTAGTGAAAATTCTAGTCCTCTGAAGTGTTTTAGCAAATTCTAGTAGGCTTTTCTCCCTGACTAAGTTTCTATAATTGGTTAGTGATACTAAACATATATTATTTATATTTTTGTATGCTTAGATTTCATGAAGTATGTTTAGATTACAATTTAGGAAATTATATTATATATGCACATCATCCGATTTGATACTCTGATTTTTACTACATATCCCCAATATTTCCCTAATATCCACAATCCTATATGAATTTTGGCCATCCATTATATCCCTGATATCCGATATTTAAAACCTTAGTATGGGTAGCCCTTTTGGATAATAGAATGACCATAGTCGTAATTAAAGAGTTTTCATTTTCTGTTAGTTTTAAGTTTTTACATGCACCTAGTAAAATTCATGAAGGGCTGTCTAAATACATGATTCAAATTGAATACTGTTATCTAAGATACCCTAGACTTATTCAGACAAAAATTGATGCGGTGTAGAAACTTCAATCTATTGGATCTAGCAAAAAAGAACTAATAAGTTTTTCACTTCCGTAAGCCCTCAATTTGTGAGTATAACATATATAGGCTAGGAATTTTTCCTTGGTACTTCATTATTTATTCCCATGGTTTTTGGAATGTGTAGATCACAATCAACAACCACCTATTTGGATGGTGGTATGTATTTCCAAAAGTGTCAGTGAACTCCTACGTTGCAACATGTGCATGTTTTGACGTTTCCACATACAAACATCTTGTAGTTCCCTACTTTAGCCCTTTTTTTCTTGATCTTTTTTTTATCTGCTTGCTTTTAGGGGATGCCAAAGTGTAGATCTAAAGACATGTTTCGCTCAGATCAAGCTTTCAGTATGAATCTTGTTTCGATTACTGATCTGATTTCCCTTATGACACTAGAAACTGACATGTAATGGAAACAAATAAAGAAATATTTGTGAAAATTGTTCACATATATAACAGTAGCAAAAATGTATCACGTGCTGGTTTTCCAGTGTTCCATTTTCTTTTAATTTTCAACTAATGTGGTTAATGTAAAGCATTTACCATGCCTTATCTTATTTGTTTCTTATTCCTTTGTGCACTTAGTTGGAAAGTATTTCTTACATTGGTAACAGAAGTCAAAATGGGAGATAGTGGACATGGGTAGCTTAAATGGGACATTTCTGAATTCTCGGGCAATTCACCATCAAGATTCAAACTTCAGGCATTGGAGTGATCCTATTGAGATCAGAAACGGAGACATTATAACCCTTGGCACTTCATCAAAAATATTGGTGAGCATGGTGATATACTTTATATTGTTGAGTTTCTCAGTTAACAGGCCCTTAGGGGATTCATTCTGGAAAAATGGGGGGAAATCCTTTGACATAGCCCTTATAGGATGAGATAAAGGCACTATGAATGTTGTTTAATTTCTGTATTCTTGTATTCTACTATTAATTAATCAAAAATCTTTTTTCTTCCATTCACAGTTGTTGCTATCAATCATGCAATTTTTTGGAATTATTAAAAGTCTAATATATGCAGCTGTTCATGGTTGATCCATACTTCATCATGTAAATTGCTTGTCGAACTTATCATGCGATCTGAGCTTGTTCAGATTGTCTTGAAGTTTATTTCAAAATGGCTATTTGTTTTGCAATTTCACTTGCTAGGTGAACGTGTTACTGTTTCTACATTAGTCAGTTCCTTGTCCACTATTTGGATGATTTCAGTTATAGCAGAATGCTGGGTGTATGCAGTTAGTTTTATAAGTATGTGGCAAGCATTTTTAGGTTTCTGTACATGCCATGTTGCCTTTCTGCTTGAGGTGAACTGTTGGTTCCTTAAAAACACATGGGCAACTAAATTACACTTATTTCTTAATTCTTACTTGGGAGCTTGACAGATTCCCAGCCTGATTACAACACAAACACGAAGCAGAACGCTTGCCATGTAGAATTACCTGCTTCTTCCTACATGCTACTTGATGCACTCGTAGTTGTCATAAAGTTGAATAAATAGATTCTAATGCTAAAGAGCAATTGGGAGGATTCATCTGGTCTACATGATTGATTAGTAGTTACTATAAAGTAGTAAAGATGGTGAATGCCTCGTGTTGAGGGAGGAATGTGAAAACAAGCAGTGAGATCTAAAGTAGCATCACAGTAACGATATCCCATGAGAATTTATTTGTAACCATGTGGATTGTGCTTGCTTATCTTGAGAGGAATGTAGATGAGAAGATGAACATACAAGTTAGTGAAGTTACTAGTGACGGTCAAGGACATGTAGGTAGCAATGGAAAGTACTAATCTGGTGTAGCATGGACAGAGATATGCCACCTATAACACGGTGCAAGAGAATATGCAAATATTGTATTCCTTAAGCTAATTGGTGGTAAAGCTAATAATTAATTCAAACACGATAACAGTTAGGATGGCATCTCTTTTAGGCATTTGGGATTACTTGAAAAAGCCTCAAACATAAATACAATTCTCATGAAAAGTCATGATTAATGAGGATATAAACATATTTGAATACCAATCCTGAGGTTTGAACCTAGAAACTCTTGAACCTGGTGCTCTGGTATCATATGAGACAGCTACTTTCCCAGAAGGTTAAGTTTATGGTTTTTGGGTAATGATGTGGCAAGCATGATATTCAACAAATACCAAGATCTCAAGTGATCCTGCAAGTTGACAAATATGGGGTGTTGGATCTTGAAAAAACATAGAAAATGTAACTGTGGTAGTAATTACTTCTATGCGTTTGTAATTACTTGTATGCTTACTTTTATGTTGGAGGCCAGGACTAAAGTGATTGATTGAGCTGAATTAATAGTTCTTCATATATAATATTCAAAAGACTCTTCGAAGTCAATGGGCTCAAGCATCCCTACTTGGGCCCTGAACTCCATCAATTGGTGACACCCTGAAAAGAGGGGTGGTCATATCTGTGTTTAAGGCCTAGGAAGGAGGAATAAATACCTGAGTTATGAATGAAAAGCTGAAATACCGAAGTGATGTTGTATAGCACTGGATGTTTCTCTTAGTAGAATTTCTTTTGGCAGAGAAGTTGCAGTGGCAGATGAAAGATTCTTGGAACAAAGCTTCGCACTTATGTCTTATTTTTCTTGCCTTTTCAAGTCTTATTATAAGTTGGTATATAAATATCATGCGTTAGCTTGAAGTTGTCAGTATATCTTAATTCTTTAGTTCAAATTCAGCTTGAGTAATGTATTTGCAGGTTCATATCTCTCAACATGCAGAACACAGGACCCCTTTTGGGGTTGGTGTGGCGTCTGATCCAATGGCTATGCGTCGTGGTGGAAAGCAGCTTCCCATGGAAGACATGTGCTATTACCAGTGCCCTCTTCCTGATGTTGAACAGGTTTCTATGAAACCAAGTTCTATGCTCCTTCTGTAAAATTTTATTCTAATCAAAATATTTGAATGCAGTTTGGACTCTTTGGCATTTTTGATGGTCACGGTGGTGCCGCAGCTGCTGAAACCGCTTGCAAGTCAGTATTTTCCCCTTTGTTTGATGTTAATACCATTAGGCAAGTTAAAGTAGTTTTGAGATTCAATACTTGCGGTCGATATGCAAAGCCGGTATGGATATCTGTGGATATATCCGTATCTGGTTGGATACAAATATGGATACTACTCGGTAGGACATGGATACGGATACAGATAGATAAGTAAAATATCCAGATCCAAATATACAAATATATATAATGATGATACAATTAAAATGTTTTTAAGTATTAGATTAATCTATGAGTTCAATTTTGATAATCTAGAGATCTAATCTTGCTTTCCAAGTATTTCAAACAAACATGTTAATGGACTCACTTGAGAAATTTGTTATACTTAATCATCTCTTGTATCACATGATCTTATCTAATTTTCCAATATTATATGTTTTTCTCATATCCATTGTGTCCGTTATATTTCCTCGTATATAGTTCGTATCTGTGTTTTTTTTTGACAGATATGGAGTATGAATTTTCTTACCGAACCCTATAATTAGTAAGCAAATATGAATAAAATAAGTATCATATCAAGATTACAGAAAGCGCTAGGCAACCTAAGTGTCAGATTCGGCACCTAGAGCCTAGGCAGAGCCTAGGAGTGGCCTAGGTATTTTCTTTTTTTATTTTTAATTACAATCAATGTTATCAAAATCTCTAGGCACTGCTAGGTGCCAAATTGGTGCCTAGCGCGTTGGCACCTAACGCCTACGCGCTAGACCTAGGATGATTTTTATTTTCTACTTTTTTGTTTAAGTGGTGGTGGAGGAGCTTTTACTGAAGGTCGGAGGAGGCGTTCGTGGTCGGTGGAGATGGCTGGAGGAGTTCGAAGGAGATTAGAGAACGTGGATGCAGCAATAGAGGAAAGCATGACCACGATCTAAGCAGTGTAGTCTGCGTAAGCAGTCTCCACTCCCCTAGGCGCTACCAAGATCTAGGTGGGCGGCCTAGGTGCCGCCTAGGCCTAGGCAGGAGCGTAGGCAGTCTAGACGGGAGTGTTTTAGGACATTCATATCTGTTTCATTTGCACCCTTGCTTGCGAGAGAGACATACATATGTCATCTTAATGCATATAAAAATAAAAGTAAACACGGCGGAATTTGAAGCCTATAGTTCCTGCAGCATGAGACAAGTTCATTATCGTCTAGGTAACTTTTAGGCTGTAAAATCATGCCATCGTCGACACAACTACGAGTAACTATCTGGGACACTCTTTTTTCCCTCTACATATTGTGCACCACCACATGGCTTAGCATAATGGTCTTAGAATTAGGATCTTATTTATTTCCTTTTAGTTAATTCTGCTGCAAATTCGGTGGAGTATCCAGGTTGTTCAACACTGCAGCAATTTAGCTTTGTTATTTGAGTATTCTTAAACTGTCCAGCTCCCTTTTTCTTTCGATTTTTCATTATTCGTGATGTGTAATTTAGTTTAATCCAGATAGTTTTTTCTTGTTTGTTAGGATGTCCTCAGTCTCTTTCTCCTCTGTAATTTAATTGACTGTGTTTATATCCTGTTTTCTCCTCATCTGTAGGCGTCATTGGTGCTAATCATACTTCATATGATTATATTCTCGAAACCCTTCTCGGAAACACTGATATTGAGAACATTCAATTTCATTTACAGGATGCTGCCTCAGAACATTGCTGACATTTTATCAAAAACTGAAAAAAGAGAGAAGGTTGTTGCTCTGTGCAATGCTTCAGATGTCCTCAGAGAAGCTTTTCACCTTACAGAGGCTGCTATGAATCATCAGTATGAGGTTTCCTCCTTTCTCTTTGAATTTTGTAGGATATGCAAATGGTTTATAGTTCTGTTTTGACCTTTATATCAGTTTGTGCTTGATTGTAGCAATGAATATTTATGCAAATTCTTAAATTACTCATGATACACATCTCCAACACACTTCTTAGATATCTATCTGATATGACAATGCCCGTATCTACTGTGACCTTGGACTTTTATGGGCCCCAAAGTTATTTGAGCAGACATGTTTTTCCATCATAACATGCACTGTATTTCATTGTCCATCATAGCATGGTGTCAGAGCAAAAGCTTTAGTACTAACAAGCCTCTTTTTTTTTAGACTAAACCTTGTACTTATTAATGGGGATTGCCGGCTCAAAGTATTATCTCTGTATCTCTGGACCTCCCCCTGGCAGCTACTTCATCTTCTCACAATCCTCTTCTCTCTTCCTTTCTCTCTCTCTCTCTCTCTCTCTCTCTCTCTCTCTCTCTCTCTCTCTCTCTCTCTCTCTCTCTCTTCCATTGTTTCTATTTTCCCCCTATCTAAAGAAACCAAACTAAGCAGTAGAGAGATCTCTGAGGACCTCCAGCTTTGCATTAACAGAATCCAATCTCTTGGGACCCTTTCTTGGTGGAGAAAACCAGGACTTTATTTCCAGTTTGTAGAGGGACTGATGGTGGAATCATCTACTTAGATGCTGAGGCCCTGCCCCCATCAAGCTCTTGGTCCATGTTATGGTCAAGAGAGAAGCAAGTTAGGTTTTATAAAGTCATGCTACCAGATTTTGAGCACATATCTACTTGATTTTGAGGAAAATATGAGGAGCCAACAATTTGGGCTCTGCTTTCGTTGAAATAAGAAGGGAAGTCCCTCACTGTAATGAGGTTAAAATGTAATCTCAGCTGTTTTCTCTTATTGAAGGTTGTAAAACTTCGTTCCCTCTGCCGCTGTTGTCCAACAAGCAGATTGTGGTCAGAATTGCCGTTACTCATCGCTAGGTCCTTATTGAATTGTCATCAAGACTTCTGACAACCTCTCCTCTCTTTTTGTGGAAACCCATTTTACGTCTGATCAGGTATCATACTTCAGAAAAGGAAACATGGAAAAAAAAAGAAAAAAAGGCAAAAGAAAAAAAAGAAAAAGAACAGTAAAAAGAAAAAAGACATGAAAATAGTATAACCAGGGGAGAAAACTGTTTCAGAATCCCTCCATCTTGTGTGGTGGGCAGCTAATCCAGGTCGCATTGCTCAAAATTCTACATGTTCGGGTTTCTTTTATCTGGGTTTCTTTTATCTACTATTGCTGATTTATTTTTAGTTCAACATTTTTCCAATTGTCTGTCTCTATAGTTAAAAAGCTACTATTTTTTTCATATTTAAGACCCTACTATGTGTCTCCATGCGGATACCTTACTGTATGTCTCCCTGTATTGAGCTCTAATTGTCTTTCTCAATACTTGTGGCAATGCTTCATGAACTCTTAGTTATATGTCTCTCTCCGTATCTGAGACCCTACCGCCAATCTCTATGTCGGAAATTTTAATCCATAAAGCATTGCGGGTCTTGAACTTGTCCTATAGAAGAGGCCTTTGATTGTCCTCTTTCTTCTGTTATGTTCTCCTTTGAATCTCTCTCGTGAATTTCCACTAATTCAATTAAAAATAAAATGACAAGGAAAGCAAGTTTCTAAGTTACAAGAAATGTAAACATGAGTTACAGGTCAGTGATAAAGGGATGTTGTTGTTTTATTGGGAGGTGCTAACTTCAAGACCAGGCTATATTACCTTTGCTTTATAGAAGGGAAAGGAAAGAATCATAAGTGTTTGCAAGTTGCTGACACCTGTAGAAATTTGACCACTTTTTCTCACAAAAATTATATTATCCTAGGATAAGAATAGGCAATGGATATTATACTATTGGGTTTTTAATAATGGTCCTCAAACCTTTAATATTCTTTAATATTTTGAATAGACCTTCAAACAATTGAATTTGCAATTAGGTCCCCAAATCAAGTTATTTTGCGTCCAATGTACTACTATTCTTGGTTGGATTAGTGATTAACCAAAGGTGGTTATTTACTTTTTTACCGTCCACATTTCTCCCTGGTTGGATAAGTGACCAAACTTCCGTATCTCAATCCCAAACTTGGGTTATGTGTTCTTCTTTTGAATGGAGGAGGGGAAGGGAAATTGGGTTTTGTTGGGGTTGGGAAAGAGAGGATATGAAGTTGGATCATATGAAGTGGG